TTTACTATTACTTTCCATATCCAACTTATATTAGAGAAAAACTTATAAATAACACTACCTAAAGTAAGTGTATAATGTTGTTATCAATGCCTCCAAAATACCTAGCAATTGTTTTTTTAACAGCTCTGCAGGGAATGCTGCTAATTTGTTTTCATGTCTGCGAGGGAGCTCTAAACACTTCAAGGTACTTAAAAATGCAACATCCTCACAGAAAATACCTAAGTAATGTGCTGATTACTGCCACTAATCAAAGGAAATTTAGTTTTCATCTTTAGCAACAGAAATGTTTTTGGCTCTTCATTTAAATCTGAAATTTTATCTGTTTATAAAAATAAAGGACAATATGGCTAAATTCTAGGGAAAATGCCAAATATCAGAATACATAAATAGCACTGTCCTTCATAAAAATTTCTTAAAATAAAAAATAACTACTATATTAAAACATACTTCAATTACATTCTAAAAAGCTCCAAATTTTACAAAGCATAACCGAAGTACTCAGTGTCTCATAGCAAAAACATATTCTCTTATGTAATTCTTAAAGAAAAGCAATGCTTTTTAAGTATTTTTCTCTTAATATCTTTATTTCAGTTAAGGTTCTTTAAGAATAAACACCAAAATCAGCTCTGAAATCTGGAATCTCTATTGATCTGCACCTTTGAAATCTAGATTTCAAAAGTACATTCTTCAAAAACATCAGATTTAGACATATTTTTGATGAATAGGAAAAGTCATTTTCTTTTAAAAAGCACATCCAATAATTACTAATTCTACTATGTTGTTGGCTGTTTCTGACTTAATGCTGAAAAATTATTATTAAAAGCAAAACTAGGAACTAGAATGCTACTTAAAGTCCATGTGTGTACATGTACATAAAATTTTGAAACTTTTCCGCATTTCTAACCATAATAAATTGAAATTATTATAAGAAATTATAATGCTGGTACTAAATTATACTCACAATGATGTACTAAATTATACTCACAATGATGTAAATAATTACTGTAGATATATATATATATATATATACATATATACACACACACACACACACACACACACACACACTCTAACAAAAAAAAAACAGCTAAGAATTAGTGCCATCAGTTGTATGTATGCATGTATGTATGTATGTATTTTTATTGATTTTAGAGAAAAAAGGGAGATGGGAATAGAGATATGATATGAAGTTATCAATTTGCAATTATAAATAATATATAAGTTGTATCATTTTCCTGACATCTTCCTTGGCCAATTAACATTACACTCTTTATCTGGCAATCTACAGCTCACACCTACATAAAAATGCCTTAAGGAAACAGGAATAAAGAAGTCATGCAGTGAGTGCCTGAGCTGGTAGCTAAGCTAGTTAGAGAGTCATCCTGATATACCAAAGGTTTCGGGTTTGATCTCTGCTCAAGGCACATACAAGAAATAAACAATGAATGCATAAATAAGTGGAACAACAAATCAATGTTTCTTTCTCTCTCTTTTCCTCTTTCTACCTCTTTCTCTAAAAATATCAATAAATAAAAAAAATTTTTTAAAAACAGAAAGTGATGTAACTTCATTTGAAGCACTACTTTACTGTAAACTAAAAGTGTTTTTTCCTTTTTTTAAAATGTCACCCGACACCAATTATCTGGTTAGAGGTGTCACTATTGAAAATGTTTAGGGGAATTCTCAAGAATTGAAGAAATAAAAGTAGTATATTTCCTCCTCCATATATATAAGCTTAGCATTATTAAACATACTATGGCTATTTCTAATAAAGTGAAAAAAATCAAAATATTAGAAGTCACTCGTTTCCTAAACTCTTCAATTTTCAGTTTACCTTAAACTTTATGATTTAATATTTAACCTAAATTTCCTCAATAAAATCTCTTTTTGCCCATTCTCATCTGTAATAATCACTGTTTAAACTCCTAATAGTTTCTCTATGGAATTTTTTCTGTAATTGATCATATATACTCTAATAATATCTAATACTGTCCTGTCAAATTAAGAGTAACATTTACTGAGTTCCTATTATAGCCAAGGCATTGTGGGGAACATACAAATGAACATGAATGCCCACAATTTAAGTAGAAAGGTACATAAAAATGCATATACTTAGGGACAGCACAAAGCAGATTATAGGTGCAGTAAAATAAGAACACAAAACAAGGAAATATACGGCAAACAGAAAATAGTTTCTATGGTGAGATCTAAGAGTTCTAAAAGAAAGATAGTTAAGATAAAGAAAAAATGCTTAAATGAAAGAAGAAAGAAACAAACTATCTTAAGAAAGGAGAGTAGAATAATGTAGCTGAAGAGCAAGGTAGATAGATGGCTTTTATTTAGTGAGAGATAAAGTCAGAAAGACTCAGGACACAGTGTAAATGAGTCTGAATGCCAAGTCAAGGTGTAAAGATTTTATTCTATGATACAAACAACAATAAAGGCTTAACTACAACAAGACTGAACACAGCCCACAAAAGGTTGCACCAAAAGTGTCCATCTCAGGTAACTGGGGAGGCTGAGCCACTGGACCTTCAGGACACCTAGCCACTCTATCAACTCAGGGAACCAGACAAAATTTGGAGACAAAGAAACAGATGAAAGAAATAGAAGAAAGCAAACGACTGACTATAGAGTTCAAAACCACAATTATAAGGTTTTTCAAGAATTTTCTAGAAAAGGTCGATAAATTTAGCGAGACCCTCGAGGATATGAGAAAGGATCAACTAGAAATTAAGCATACACTGACTAAAATAAAAAATAATATACAGAGATCCAACAGCAGACTAGAGGAACACAAGAATCAAGTCAAAGATTTGAAATACAAAGAAGCAAAAAACACTCAACCGGAAAAGCAAAAAGAAAAAAGAATCCAAAAATATGAAGATAGTGTAGGGAGCCTATGGGACAACTTCAAGTGTATCAACATCCGAATTAGGGGGTGCCAGAAGAAGAGAGCAAGATACTGAAAATCTATTTGAAGAAATAATGACAGAAAACTTACCCCACCTGGTAAAAGAAACAGACTTACAAGTCCAAGAAGTGCACAGAACCCCAAACAAAAAGAATCCAAAGAGGACCACACCAAGACACATCATAATTAAAATGCCAAGGGCAAAAAGACAAAGAGAGAATCTTATAAGCAGCAAGAGAAAAACAGTTAGTTACCTACAAGGGAGTACCCATACAACTGTCAGCTGATTTCTCAATAGAAACTATGCAGGCCAGAGGGGAGTGGCAAGAAATATTCAAAATGATAACTAGCAAAAACCTACAACCAAGATTACTCTACCCAGCAAAGCTATCATTCAGAATTGAAGGTCAGATAAAGAGCTTCACAGATAAGAAAAAGCTAAAGGAGTTCATCACCACCAAACCAGTATTATATGAAATGCTGAAAGATTCTTCAAGAAGAGAAAGAAGAAAAGGTAAAGATAAAAATTATGAACAACAAATACATATCTATCAATAAGAGAATCTAAAAATCAAGTGAATAAAAAATCTGATGAAGAGAATAAACTGATGAATATAATAGAATCAGGGGCATAGAAAGGGAGGACTGACAATCTTCGGGGGTAAAGGGGTGTGGGTGGTGCCAGAAGAGACTGGACAAAAATCATACACCTATGGATGAGGACAGTGGGGGAGGGAGGGAGGGTCATGGGGTGGAATGGTGTGGGAACCAGGTGGAGGGGAGCTATTGGGGTATAAAAAGAGGTACAGTTGTAATAATCTGAACAAAAAACTGAAAATGGAACTCCCATTTGACCCAGTAATCCCTCTCCTAGGAATATATCCTAAGAAACCAGAAACACAAATCAGAAAGGAAATATGCACCCCTATGTGCATAGCAGCACAATTTACAATAGCTAGGATTTTGAAACAGCCTAGATGCCCATCAGCAGATGATTGGATCAAAAAACTATGGTACATCTACACAATGGAATACTATGCTGCCATAAAAAAGAAGGAATTCTCATCATTTGCAGCAACCTGGATGGAATTGGAGAACATCATGCTGAGTAAAATAAGCCAGTCAATGAAAGAGAAACACTACATAACCTCACTCATTTATGGATAATAAAGAACATTATAAACTGATGAACAAAAAGATAGATACAAAGACAGTAAAGCAACAAACAGACTCAAATTACAGCAGGGAGGATAGGGAGATATGGGGGAGATAAGAAATCAACCGAAGGACTTGTATGCATGCATATAAGCAAAACCAATGGACAAAAAACTCTGGGGGGAAGGGCATGGATTTGGGGGGGAGGGTGGAGAAATGGAAAGATATGTACATATATAATACCTTAATAAAAAAATTTTTTTAATTTATACAAAGAATTATATTATTGCCCTAGATGGTTTGACTCAGTGGATAGAGCATCGGCCTATGGACTCAGGGGTCCCAGGTTCGATTCCGGTCAAGGGCATGTACCTTGGTTGCGGGCACATCCCCAGTAGGGGTGTGCAGGAGGCACCTGATCGATGTTTCTCTCTCATCAATGTTTCTGACTCCCTATCCTTCTCCCTTCCTCTCTGTAAAAAATAAATAAAAATATTTTTTTTAAAAGAATTATATTATTAATAAGCAATTAGGTAATTTAATAGTTATTTAGCCACAAGTTTAAAAAAATAATTACTATGCAAATGGATTAACATGGGATTTAGAGGACACCCTAAGAATGGTCTTAAAGCAATAAAAATCTCAAAATGCACTGCATCCTAATTAAAACTTTACAATTTAAGTGAGTATTCCTGATCCTCTATATCCATATTAAATATATATATTTTGACATTTCATACTTCATTAGTTTAATAACACAAAGAATCATTAAAAAAATTAATCTAGTGAAGACAATTTCCACAGACCTTAAAATGATTTAAAATACTAAAATAATCAAAAATTATTTCCTTATCAGTATCAGAAAAAGAGAACCAGCAACAGAAAAATACTCTTAAACTGCATTTAAAATGGTGAAAGATACCATTTTTACCTGGGATTTCCTCTTAGTGCAGCATGGTGTAGGGCGTTAAATCCATTATTGTTTGTAATGGTAACATCTGCTCCAGCTTCCAGAAGGACTGCCAGGATATCATCACGTTTCTTACTTATTGCATCATGAAGAGGAGTATCACCTTCAGAATCCTTTTTTTTAATTTAAAAAGATTTTCATTAGTTCTTTTTCAATCATTCTTATCTGTAATTATTAATACTTATAATAAACTACTAAACAAAGAAACAAAAACAGAACCATGTCCAACAACCATCAACAAAGCATACTATGGGTTAAATTTAATAAATGTAGGCAAGAAATAGCATTATAATGAATAAACTTATACTCAATCTAAATGACAAACACAATAAACATGCTGTAGCTTTAAAAAAAAATGAAAGAAATTAAATACCCTCAAAATAATTAAGTAAATAACAAAAATAAGTGAGGTGGAAAAGTGGCCAAAAAACTCATTCATTTAAAATCACTTGCTAATACCATTTTCCTACCATTAACTGCTGTACCCTGAAACTCCATACCAAACCTACACCAATGTCAGGGCCCATGGCAATTAATTAAAAGTCAGTGGTTCTCAACCCTGGCTGTACTTTAGAATCTGTTGGGAAGCTCTTAAAATCTTCTAATAAAATAAACAAACAAACAAACAAACAAACAAATAAATAAATAAATAAATAAATAAATCATGTAATCCAGACTGTTCTTCAGATCAACTAACCTAGAATCTCTGGTTGGGACTCAGGCGTTACCAGTTTTTCTGAGTTTCCCAGGTGAGCATATTGTAATATATTGTGTAGTCACTGTTAAGAATCATTACTCTAAACATTTTCAAAGGGCAGGAAAGAGAGTATTTAACTCAAAGTGAAAACAAATGTAAAAGAAAATTTGGCAGAAAATTTTTTCCAAGTTGATTACTTCCTTCATTAATCAACCAATGTAGCAATACATTTTTATTCATTATTAGTCATCTGTGTAAATGGGTAATTTAGTCTTCATTCATTTCATAGTTTCGTAAATACTATTTTCAGTAAAGCCATATATAGTTACCACAGTGGCCAAATCTAGGCTGCCCATTTTTATAATTTTATTTACATAGCCACACACATGCATTTATGTATTATCTACTAGAGGCCCAGTGATGAAATTCATGAACAGGGGGCTGGACGCAGGATGAGGGTGGTGGTGTCCCTCAGCCCGGCCTGCACTTCTCCAATCTGGGACTTCTTAGGGGATGTCCAACTGCCAGTTTAGGCCCAATTCCACAGGCAGTCAGACATCCCTCTCACAATCTGGGACTGCTGGCTCCTAACCGCTCATCTGCCTGCCTGATTGCCCCTAACCGCTTCTGCCTGCCAGCCTGATCATCCACCAACTGCTCCCCTGCTGACCTGATTGCCCACAACTGCCCTCCCCTGCTGGCCTGATCACCCACAACTGCCCTTCCCTGCCAGTTATCTGTGGCAACCATCTTGTGGCAGCCATCTTGTGATGTCGCGCAATGCCACCTAGGCTTTTATTTTATAGGACTATGCTTTTATTATATAGGATGGCTACTTCGGTGCTACGATGGCAGCATTGGATAATTGTAATAGAAATCATATGAAAGCCAAAAATATTACCTGGCCTTTCTTAAAATATATATTTTTAATGATTTTTAGAGAGAAAGGAAGGGAGAGGGAGAGAAAGAAACATCAATATGAAAGAGTAACATCGATCAGCTGCTTCCTGCAAGCCTACCTACTGGGGATCAAGCCCACAACTGGGGCATGTGCCCTGACTACAAATCTAATCAGCAACCTCTTGGTGCATGGGACAACGCCCAACCAACTGAGCTGAGACACAATAGCCAGGGCTTACCTGGCCTTTCACAGAAAAAGTGTGCCAATCCTAAGCATATATTCATCCACCCACATAAAAAATTCCCAACACAAATTCAGTCCAACAATCCACCTTTCATCCTTCTATGGTACTAAAAATTCGTGATCTCCATCTTGAAATGGGCTCTTAACCTGACAGGAATACGCTTCTACAGGCTCTGATCTGTCCTCTCTCTCGCTCCCCACAGTAGCTATTTCAATGACCCTTTCTATACTGACCACTCCCCACTCACTCTCACCTAATAACTTTGCCTCCCATATCAGATACACAAAAGAAGTCAGCAGGTATAAATTACACACTCCTTCAACAGATTAATACCATACCTCCAGCGCCTTCCCCATCTTTTAATCCTGCCCCCTGTATCTCAGAAAAACTAGTCTGTAATAATCATCTAGCTGAACAGAATCTCTGACACTTTCGATTCTTGTCACACCCTCAGTCCCAATACTCCTGTTCTACATTGCTTTTCTAAGACCAATCCAAATTAATTCATCTGGTTGCTAAAATTTTGAAAGGGAATAATCATTTCGTAGGCGACCCTCGCTTAAAAAAAAGTAGGTCCTACTATAATGAATAAACTTTAAAAACCTATGTATTTCCCAAAACAGAAAATCTCCTAAGACTGGACTAATGACTACACCAAGACTCTTAAATTACTAAGGCTAGAACTAAAATAATTTAAACAGCTATGAAGTAACTATTAGGAAATGCAACCTATTACACTTATTTAAGTTGCTGAAGCCCAATGTCATGATCAATAAAATTAAGTCAATTCAAGTAAAAAAGGAATACTTTTGCATGAAATCCCTATCCCCACCCTTCTATATAAGACAGATCTACTTAACACTTCCTTAAAAAGGCTTTTCTAAGAAGGAAGAGCTACCAATTTTATTACATTCTCTACCTTTGGTATCAGTTACTATGACTAATCATATAAAAAAGAATTGTAACACAGAAATGCTAACCATTGAAGCTAGTACTTCCCTTTAATAAGATCCTAGCAATATCTACAGAATATATTTTGTTAATGGTTTTACCTGTAGACTGGGATGACAACCAAAGTCCAATAAAGTCTTTACAACTTGAAGATGACCTTTATTGACAGCAATATGAAGTGGTGTCTGTCGGCGTTTGTTGCGAGCATTCAAGTCAGCACTGCCTCGATGTAATACTTCAATAACAGCACCTTCATCTCCAAAAGCTGCATGGTGAACGGCTCTATCTCCATCTTTGTCCTAAACATCAGCATTAAAATCTGAATTAATGAATATCTTAGAAAAATAAATAAATTTTGAAACTATAACTCATTAAGAACCAAACTGATATGAGAAAAAAACATTAAATAGAGCCAACAAAATAAGCAGAAATTCACTTTAATAGTGACTAACCTCAAAAATAAATGACGGATTCTAGATCCATACAGGGGTGGGCAAAAGTAGGTTTACAGTTGTGAGTATACAATACACAAAGTATATTCTTGTACAATTATTTAATACTGTATTATTTGTATTACAACTGTAAACCTACTTTTGCTTATCCATGTATATTATATCAGACATATATTGCACCAATCGTTTTATCAGAAGTAGTTCAATTCTTTTTTTAAAAATATATTTTATTGATTTTGTGCAGAGAGGAAGGGAAAGAGATAGTTAGAAACATCAATGAGAGAGAGTCATCGATCAGCTGCCTCCTGCACACCCCCTTTGGGGATATGCCCGCAACCAAGGCACATGCCCTTGACTGGAATCAAACCCGGGACCCTTTAGTCCCCAAGCCGACGCTCTATCCATTGAGCCAAACTGGTTTCGGCAGTAGTTCAATTCTTCATTACCCTAATTTATCAGTCATGATGATAAGCCAATATCAGGAAAATACTGATATATAACACTATACATAAACTTTTTCCATTTAAAAATTTTACAAAGACTTTTCAAGGACATAAAAATTACACTAACTTAAGTTGAATGGTTTTAAAAGAAAGATGCCAAAAAATGTGATCTCAATTAGTTTTAAGGGGAGAAATATATCAACATATTAACACTAATTATCTTTAGCTGGTGAGTAGACACTTTTCTGTGTATTTAAGAAAAGAAAAACATTATTAAATACCACTTCAAAAGACAAAAATGAAACACAAACCAGCGTAATTTCATACATCCAAACTTCTAAAACTATCTCAGAGGACCCAGCAGGTGCGCCTCCTCTTTTGTGATTGGAGGAGATGAGAGCCGGAGAACTGGTGGTGGCAGGAGCCTCTCCCACCTGCAGGACAGCACTAAGGATGTCTGGCTGCCAGCTTCGAACATCCCGAGGGCTCCCGGACTGAGAGAGGGTGCAGGCCAGGCTGAGCAAGACTAAAAAAATTCTAATATACTGGTTCCCTTACGAGGTAAAAAAAACGAAACAGAGGCCTCTGAGTGTCACAGATCAGAAAAAATCTTGACCCACATGATTTATATTCCCCTTCTCTCAACTTCCCCAGTATAATTCTTGGGTGAACCCAACTGGGATTCCAACAGCAGTTGGGGCTATTGCCAAGAATACTGAGGGATCACAGAAAACCAAGAAATACTTCAAGTTGTCTTTTATCAAATTTTTCTCTTCGATCAGAAAAGTCTTAGGTAAATATTAAATTTCAAGAATGAAAACAATTCATCTAATACAAAAATAAGTACCATTTCTAGACATTTTTATTGAAAATATTGTTCAAGCTTAGTTTAATTACCTCTGCTTCTACATCCACATTTTGTTTCAAAAGTAACTTCAAAATATCAACATGTCCATTCTGACTAGCAGCCTGCATAGCAGTGTGGCCAGCACATTGTCCATTTACCTAAATAAAATAAAAAAGAATAAAATGTTACAAATCAGAAAGAGCCAATATATAAATATAGTATAGGTTCAAATTTAGTACATAGTATGATTCTATGAAAATAATTTACTCTACCCCAAATGTATTATTTAGAATCAAAGAACATATAAGATCTTCCCAGATAAGAAAAAGCTAAAGGAGTTAATCACCACCAAACCAGTACAAGGAATGTTAAAGGGTCTTCTTTAAGAAAAAGAAAAAAGATTTAAAATATGAATACAATACTAACAAATACATATTTATCAACAACTACTACTTTAAATTCAAATGGATTAAATTCTCCAATCAAAGCACATATCGTGGCTTAATGGATAACAAGACCCATACATATGCTATCTACAAGAGACTCACTTCAGACTGAAAGACCCACACAGATTAAAACAAAGGAATAGAGAAAGGTATTTCATGAAAATGGAAACAAAACAACAACAAAAAGCTGTTGTAGCAATACTTATAATAGACTCTAAAACAAAGACTATAACAAGAGACAACAAAGGACTCAGCAATTCCACTTCCTGGTATTCATCTGTAGAAACTCAAAATACTAAATCAAAAAAATATATGCTACTTTATATTCACAGCAGCATTATTTATAATAGACAAGATACGGAAGTGACTATCAACAGATGAATGGATAATGAAATGGCACACTTCCTATATAATAAAAATGTAGTATGCAAATTGTCCCCTCAACTGGGAATTGTCTGGGAGTTCAACCAGGGGGCAGGGCCGGCTGGGGGAAAGAAGGAGGCTCTGGCCGATGATGGCAGATAACTGGAAGAAGGGAAGGAGGCCCTGGCAACAGAAGGCAGGCAGGGGAAGGGAGAGAGTACCCAGCAGGCAGCTGGCAGCCACTAGGGACCCTGTTTCATAGGGATGAGTTTTGTGCACTGGGCCTCTAGTATTCAATAAAATTGTGACTCAACCATAAAAAAATGGAATGAGGTATCATCATCTGCAACAACATAGATGACAACCCCAGCTAGTGCCCTGACTGGAAATCGAACCATGACTTCCTGGTTCATAGGTCAACACTCAATCACTGAGCCACACCAGCCGCGCAAAACATTTTTTTCTTAAATCACTATATTGTAAAAAAAAAAAAAAAAAAAATCACTATGTTGTACACCTGAAACTAATATAATATTGTATGTAACTATAATTTTTAAAAACTTTACATTCCAGAATGAAAAGAAAACTTTGGGGAGGGAAAGTTCAATTATAAGATGTTCAAGAGGGAACTTCTATTATAAATGTTCCTCTAAATCAAGAGGAAGGTGCTGTTAAAAAAACACACAAAATAAACAAACAAACAAACAAAAAACAGAAAAGCTAAAGAGAAAAAAAAGTCCCATTAGTAAGAGCTAGAAAATTTTTTCAGTATTTAAGATTTTAAAAGTATATTTTGCTCTGGCCAGTGTGGCTCAGTAAGTTGGGCACTGAGTTCCCTTTCCAAGTCAGGGAACATGCCTGAGTTTCAGGCATAATTCCCGGTAGAGGGTGTGCAGAAGACAACTGATCCATATTTCTCTCTCTCCCTTCCCCCTCCTCTCTAAAAACCAATTTAAAAAAAAAAAAAAAAAAAAAAAAATATATATATATATATATATATATATATATATATATATATATATATCTATATCTCCTTATACTTTTATTCATGGTACAAAACAACTGAACCTCAATAAACCTCTTAATAAAACATATCCTTGTTTTTTTATCTTTATTATTGAAAGTATTACAAATGTCCCCTATTTTCCCCCATTATCCTTTCCTACTGGGTTCCCACCCTACCCCAAGCCTTCACGACTCTATTGTCCGTGTCCATGAGTTATGCATATATGCATATAAGTTCTTTGGTTTATCTCTTCTCACCCTACCTCTCCTCCTTTTGAGATTCATCAGTCTGTTCCATGCTTCAATGTGTCTGGATCTATTTTTTTGTTCATCAATATATTTTGTTCATTAGATTCCACCGGTAAGTGAGATTACATAATATTTATCTTTCTCTGACTGGCTTATTTCACTTAGCACAGTGGTCGGCAAACTCATTAATCAACAGAGCCAAATATCAACAGTACAAAGGTTGAAATTTCTTTTGAGAGCCATATTTTTTAAACTTAAACTTCTTCTAATGCCACTTTTTCAAAATAGATTCACCCAGGCCGTGGTATTTTGTGGAAGAGCCATACTCAAGGGGCCAAAGAGCCGCATATGGTTCGTAAGCCACAGTTTGCCGACCAGGGACTTAGCATAACATTCTCCAAGGGTAAGCATTCCTTTTTACGGCTGTATAGTATTCCACTGCGTAAATGTACCACAGCTTTTTTATCCACTCATCTACTGTTGGGCATTTGGGCTGTTTCCAGATCTTAGCTATTGTAAATTGAACAGCTATGAACATATGAGGTGAATATATTCTTTTTGAATATTGTTTTGAGATTGTTAGGGTAAATTCCTGGAAGTGGGATCACTGGGTCAAACAGCAATTCCATTTTTAATTTTTTGTTTTCAGTATGGCTATACCAGTCTGCACTGCCACCAGCAGTTCACTAGAACATGTTTTTTCATTAAATGATGGGTTGTATTTAATTTATTTATGGCATCATACTAAAACAAGAGTAAAGTTTTATTTTCTTTTAAGCTTCAATCTACAAAGATAAATAGAACTAGCAAAACAGAAACTACACACACACAAACACACACACACATACTCACATATACAGGAAGATGAAAAGCAGACCTAAACCTACTATGAAAATAGCTATGAAAAAAGATGAAAAAGGTAGCAACCCTTTTTCCAAGGAAGCCCAAAAAGCTCAAAGTTGATGACCTCTGAATATGGGGTTAATATGGTAGTGGATGTTAAATACAAAAGCATCAGTTGACAGTCTTCTTAAAAATCATTTAGATCCCTGGATTCCCCACCTCTGCACAGCTGCTCCACCTTCACACTAACAGAAACCTGCAAGTTTATTCTCCAGAAAAGGTAAAGTGTCCCTGGCCACTGTTAAGGATGGGGCAAAGTACTAAAAAAAGAAATTTTATGTAAATATTTACAGGCCAAGTCCTAAGAACCCAGGCCCTCTCCCCTTAATCAATATTCATAAGGTTGGTATCAGGTTTATAACTAGCAGAAAAACTGGAGATTTTTCTGGGGAGTCAGACCAGAAGACCAATACCCAAGAATAATCCAAGGAAATGTCCAGATCACTCGATAGTGAAAACCAGTCAACAAACACACACACATACATACATACACAGAGAGAGAGAGAGAGAGAGAGAGACCTTTTACTGAGCACTCTTATACATAAATGAACAACCAAGGAACACCAACATCTGAGAAATGGCCTCTGACATGAAAAGATTGTTTGGAAGAAGTTAAAGAGGTAAAAATAGTTGACTCTGGAAGAATGAGAAAATAAGATTGAGAAGGAGATGCCATTTTTCATAACAAATCTTGAACTACTTTTCCCTTAAATTTTTAGGATGTATGACATTGTTAAAAAAAAAAAAATACCTTAGATACCAATCAGTAATTAAATTTTAAAAATTAAATATAAAATGTAAAACTGCTTGATTGAATATGAAAAAAGTCTGCCTCTTTATTTCAAATACAAAAACATTGGTACTTTCCTATCAGTAACAAATTATTTGTGATATATCTTACAACCAATCAAAAAATCACTTTGTTGCCGAAACCAGTTTGGCTCAGTGGATGGAGCATCGGCCTGCGGACTGAAGGGTCCCAGGTTTGATTCCATCAGGGACATGTACCTTGGTTGTGGGAATATCCCCAGTAGGGGATGTGTAGGAGGCAGCTGGTCGATGATTCTCTCTCATCGATGTTTCTAAATCTCTATCCCTCTCTCTTCCTCTCTGTAAAAAATCAATAAAATATATTTAAAAAAACAGAACACCACTTTGTTGTGCTATTGCAATTGCTCTCTCAAATAAGCCTAAAATGCTCTGTGAGCTCATAGGAATAAGATATTTATACCTTACAATTATAGATCTGATCCTCTTCAAACTGTCTAGCATATCTACATAAAAAGATGTGGCAATAAAATCCATCATAAACACAGAGACTACCATTCGACTTACAATCTTGGTCAGCACTAAATATCATATTGGTGCCAGCATGGCAGCAATGGCAAAGCCAAAGGATAACTAAGTAAGAATCAAAATAACCCATTTAAAATAAGGGCTTATATGAACAGTAAGGTTACAACATAAAATATTAAGATTTACAAAGTGCATGACATCTAAATCATCCGCCTTGCAAACTATGAGATAGTCAAGTTTCACAGGAAAGAAAGGGTAAAAAGTATAAATATTTTAAAAAGGATAGAAGCCGAAACCGGTTTTGCTCAGTGGATAGAGCGTCGGCCTGAGGACTGAAGGGTCCCAGGTTCAATTCTGGTCAAGGGCATATACATTGGTTGCGGGCACATCCTCAGTAGGGGTGTGCAAGAGGCAGTTGATCGATGATTCTCTCTCATCGATGTTTCTAACTCTCTATCCCTCTCTCTTCCTCTCTCTGTAAAAAATCAATAAAATATATTTTTAAAAATAAAAGGATAGAAAATTGCTTATAATATTTACTAAAATATATTTAAAACACATGAGAAAAATTTACTCAATTTCCCAAAAGGACATTGATCACTTAAAAACCTAAATATAAATTTTGTCAATTATAAAATAAAGGCCACAATGTTAAAATAAGAAAATTCCAATAACTTTTAGATATGCATACTGAAAAATGATGACTGGTTATCTTCCTTAAAGTATCTCAGAAAAACAAGGACTAAAGCGCATGTGGCGAAGTCTTAATAAATATTGAAGTAATGTGGCAAAATCTAAATAACTGTTGAAGTATAAGGTTCATTATACTATTCTATTTTAGTGTATCCTTCAAAATAATTTTTTAAATGCTCACATCCACATCTGGTCTTTTTAGCAAATCTTCCACTTTAGCAACATCTCCATTGGCAGCAGCCTTAACTAATTCTTCATTGAGGTCACCAGATTCTTGGGTTTCAAATAATTTCTTCAAGAGTTGGGAGAGTCTTTCTGTAAAGCATAAATAAAGCTGCTAATACAGGAGAATCTCAAATTTTAACTACTAACAGACAAGCATTAACCATATGCCTATAATATTATATATACCTTTTTTATTATTTTTATAATGTTATTTTTCTATTATGCTACAGATATTACCCATGCAAGTTACTATTACATATATATATATATATATATATATATATATATATATCTGCATTAAATTTGAGCCCATTAGTATTCCAAGTGTTTTCCAATTTGTATGTCTTTCAAGTTACAATTTCAGAAAAAGCAGAGTTATAATAATAATTCAAGATGTGTAAGTCATACCAAAGATTTTAGAAATGGACACATCACAATAGGCCTACCATGATACAAACTTCCTTTGAGGTCTTAAGCATACCAGCACAGTGAGTCTCTGAGCCCAATGCTACAGATCTTAGATTAAATCAACAGATCAATGATTACGACTCAAAAGAAATGTAGTCTCTATAATATCAGAGGAAATATTTTAGAGATAAAACAATTTTCAGTTGAAAATGGACATCTAAGTGTTAACAACCTATTTCAAAGGTGCCCATTGATTAGTTTAGACCAGTGTTTCCCAAAGTGTGGTACGCCTACCCCCAGGGGTAAAGGAAGAGTTTGGTGGGGATATGCATTGCACCGTGCTTAGCTGCACCTAATTCTACGTTCTCATGAGTGAGGGGTACTCAGCTTTACGAAAATTATAGAAGGGGTACACATATGTCAAAAGTTTGGGAAATAACTGGTTGAGACTAAAATGAGAAAGAAATAGGGATTTACAGACCCTTTCCTAACATATTTTTTCTAAACAGCATTAATCAGTAGAAAACCTACTCAGTTTTTACTCCTTAATTCTTAGATCTTATTGTAAAGAAACAAAATCACACAATGGGGTAGAGGACCACTAAGTTCACATTGCTTGAGAGAAGGATATTAACCATCCTTCACTCTTTTAATTTATATGTAGTCAGCCTATTGTGATACCATCTAACCTCAAAGTAAAAATAAACACCATCTGATTTAAACTGTAAGCACACTAGCAGATTACAGCAGGAAGAAACAAAAGCAGAGGAAGTGGAAAGCAGTACCAAAAAAAATTGGAAGTCACTCTATGTTTTCCTTTACTTTCTTTTTTTTTTTTTTAATATATTTTATTGATTTTTTTACAGAGAGGAAGGGAGAGGGATAGAGAGCTAGAAACGTCGATGAGAGAGAAACATCGACCAGCTGCCTCCTGCACACCCCCTACCGGGGATGTGCCCGCAACCAAGATACATGCCCTTGACAGGAATCAAACTCGGGACTTTCTAGTCAACAAGCCAATGCTCTATCCAGAGCCAAACCGGTTTCGGCTCCTTTACTTTCTTAATATTTATTTTAATGTTATGTTTCTACCTTCTTTTCTGGATGACAACAATGTACCTCAGTAACTTATAATTTGTTGTAGAAAGAACTGAGTCTGTGTACATAAAGCTGGAGCATAGAAATGAAAGACTAAGCTCGAGTCTACCCAAGCATCCAGTATATTCATATCTCAACATGGTTTTCTACTCATTGTAGAATGTATAGTTACTCTTATTGAAAACTAAGAGAAAAAATATGGCTGAGATGTAAAAATATCCAGAAAAAAAGCCATCTGCTAGCAATCATGTTGACAACAAAAGGAAAATAAAGCAGTCTAAGAACGTGATGGTTCTTTGGCAGAAAACAAAAGTTCTAACTTAAGAAAAGAATGTTGAATTTTAGATATCTTAGATTTGATATGGAGAAGCACTCAATATATCTAAGATAGAGCACATATTTATGGAACTTTTCCAGTGCATACCTCAGCCAGAACACAGGTTGTTCATTGTATGGGGGGGGGGGGGGGGGAGGGGAGTGTTAGGAAAAAATTATAAAAAGTTTAAAAGGCAGTTAACAATCAAGCAGAGTTATGTGATCTGAGAGAACACCAAGAACACATACAACATTAGTGGTATATGAGAACTAGGAAATTAGCAAAGGTTCTAATGTAAATCATATTACTTTTAAAGAAACACAAAACAAAACATACCACCAGATGCATTGCTAATGGCTGATCCTGCGGATGCCACCTTGGAAACTGCTGCTGGATTATATGTCCAGGATGTGCCACAAACTTCCACTTTTAAATCGCTGTCTGAATAAATCTGTTGTACTCGGCCAACTTTACCTAAAGTCTTTTAAAAAAAAAATTAGATTCATGTTTCCAAGTCCACAGTATATACCATAAAAATCAAACACCTGGTTTTACATGTTTAAATAATTATTTTATTTTGTTCCTAAAGGAAAACTTTTATATATATATTGTTTATTGGAGCACTAGTATATAAATATTGAAATTTGTCTTTCAGGTGTTCTTCCTGTACCCTCTTTCTTCACTAATACTTTTATTTTAAATAATAGTATTCAGTCCCAATTAGTACCTTATCCCTACATTACATTCTCCACTAATGACTCTATCAAAAAATATTAACTGTAGTCCTTTTGGGACCTTCCCTGGCTAATTTAACTGGAATAACTTAGAAAATAAAAGGCGTAATTATGCCTAGCTGCCAATGAAGAACACAATTCTCGAAGAATTATGCTAATTTAGTTTATAAAATTAAAGTACTTTTAAAACTTAATATAAGCATGGTATAATTCCTAGTCCAAAACTATTTTATATATACTTACTGGGAGCATAGCTTCAGCCCATTCTCCATGTCCTCTTTGCAGAAGCTTAATTCTTTCCAGATCATAACAAACTTGTACAAGATCACCCACTTGAAACTGTGAGGTGCCTCCTTCTGCACCTTGAGCAGCATCCCCACTGCGGACAATGTTTGCCTTAGTGAGAACAGCAGGATTGAAGGTCCACCTAAGGATCAAAGCCAAAACTCAAAATGAATTGTTTAATTTTAACAAAACATTTTTTAATATATTTTTATTGATTCTTTACATAGAGGAGGAGAGAGGGATAGAGAGTCAGAAACATCCACGAGAGAGAATCATCGATCAGTTGCCTCCTGCACACCCGCCACTGGAGATGTGCCCACAACCAAGGTACATGCCCCTGACCGGAATTGAACCCGGGACCCCTCAGACCGCAGGCTGATGCTCTATCCACTGAGCCAAACCAGTTTCAGCAACATTTTTTATTAAGTATTACTGCCTGGAGAAAAGCCTTATAACACATCAAAAAAAGTAAAGTCATCCATTATAATTACCTCCTGAATTATTTATATTTCATTTTATAATTTTAAAATACAAATTTGAGAAAAGAATCATCATAATCTCACCACCCGAATATGATATACTTCTATGAAGATTTATTACCCTTTGCATATTAAAAATAGTTATAAAAATGATACACACTCATTTTTAAAAATTAAAACTTTTCAGAAACATGTAAAATATGTGAACCTTGAGAAGGAGCATATCTGCCAAGAAGGACTCCTCAGGGTTAACTGGGCCCAAGTCTAACAGCCATGTGGACAGAGGCCTCTCACACATTTTGCATTTGATGGGAAAACTGCTTCCGGTTTCTGAATTCTGAGTCAATTCTTATAAGGGAGTTCCTAGTATCATCTTTTGACCAATGGACTGAGACCTGCCACATCCAATCAGAACTGTGCAGCTGTATCATTTGCTCTATCTGACCAATAAGAGCTGCCCCATAATGACCAAATCAGAATAAACAATTTTGACCAATGAGGACCATGCCATTTGGATTAATCAGAACTCTGCAATATCAATTCCTCATTTGTATAAAAATGCAGCCAAAACCGGTTTGGCTCAGCAGTAGAGCATCAGTCTGCGGACTGAAAGGTCCCAGGTTCGATTCCAGCCAGGGGCATGTACACTGGTTGCGGGCACATCCCCGGTGGGGGGTGTGCAAGAGGCAGCTGGTCGATGTTTCTCTCTCATCGATGTTTCTGGCTATCTCTCTCCCTTCCTCTCTGTAAGAAAATCAATAAAATATATTTTTTAAAAAATAATAATTCACAGAAACCAGGGAGGAACTTTCTCTATGAAAGCACTTTCAGTTTTCACCAGAGGTTGCATTTCCTAGGTTTGTAAACCTGAATAAAGTTTCTTCTCTTTCCACAACTGAGATTGGTAATTTTTGTTGACAAATGACAGTTCCATTTCACACACACAACACTTGGATCACCATTCCCCACTGTACGAGAAGCCACTGTTAATACTACATTGTGTATCCGTGCAGATCTATCAATATGCTGAGTGACAGCTATAATGTAGGAAGAGAATTGTTTTCTTTTCCATAAATAGAATTATTATATAACTAGAGGCCTGGAGCAGAGGCAAGCCTCCTGCTTGCTCCGTGGCCGGCAACCATTTCTGTTTGGATTTGTTTACCTTCTATCATTGAAACTTTGCAGCTCTGAATGGAAGCCTAGGCCGGCAAGGGCTGGCGGAAAGCTTGGCTTCCTCCATTGCCTGGGAAACCCAAGCCTCCCTCCTGCTCTCTGTGGCTGAAGCCATCTTGGTTGGGTTTGTTGCATACTTGTTCTGATTGGATGGTGGGCATTGCTGGTGGGTATGGCTTGTGGGTATAGTGGAGTGATGGTTAATTTGCATATTACTATTTTATTAGGTAGGATTCTGTGGCTTTTTTCTCAGAAAATGTATCTGGGAAGATTTCTTTTTCAATGTCACAGACATGGAACTACTTATTTCAGTTTAATGGCTATAGAATATTCTATAACATGGATAAATACTAATTACTTAACCATTCTATTGACTATCATTTAAAGTATAATATTTTCACCCAGCCAGCATGGCTCAGTGGTTGAGCGTCAACCTATTAACCAGGAAGTCACCGGCTCAATTTCCAGTCAGGGCTGTGCCTGGGCTGTGGGCTCGATCCCCAGTTTTGGGTGTGCAGGAGGCAGCTAATCAATGACTCTCTCTCATCACTGATATTTCTCTCTCTCACTCCCTCTCTGAAATCAATAAAAATATTTTTTTAAATAAAGTATTTCCATATTTTCACTACAGTATTACAAACAAAACTATAAAGAACATCCCTTTATGAACATCCTTGTGCACATGGAGTATTTCATTAGAAATTCTTGGAAGGCTATAACAATTTGTTTACAATTCTAATAAATAGAGTCAAACTGCTCTACAGAGTCCACCATTTCTCCATATCAGTGCCAATCTCATGGCTAAAATAGTATTTAGTTTTAATTTGTACCCAGGAAAAAAAGGTCGTGTGAAAACACAGTGACACATCGACTCACAGGAGAGAAGGCCAGTGAAGACAGAGGCAGAGAAATGAGTGCTGCATCTACAAAAGCCAAAGAATACCAAGGACTGCTAGTAACCACTAGAAGATAGAAGAAAAGCATAGGACAGATTCTCCTAGAGCCCCCAAAAGACCCTAATCTTGTCAACATCTTGATTTTGGACTTCTTATCTTCAGAATTATGAAAGAATAAATTTTGGTTGTTTTGAGACATCCAGTTTGTGGAAATTTGTTATGGCAACCCTAGAAAACTAATATACCATCTAAACAATATTAAATCTTCCAATCTATAAACAGGAGAGGTCTTTCCATTTATTTACATCTTCTTTGATTTCCTTCAACAATGTTTTAAAGTTTTTAGTGTACAAGTCTTGTACTTTTAAGGCTAAATTTATTCTTAAGTATAAGATGCTATTTTAAATGGAATTGTTTTCTTAATTTCATTTTTAGACTCTTCATTGCTAGTATACAAAGATACAGTTATTTTTCTCTATTAATATTGAATCCTACAACTTTGCTGACCTCATTTATTAGTTCTAATAGTCTGTAGGTTCCTTATAGTTTTCTATACACAAGATCATGTCACCTGTAAACTGAGATGATTTAACTTCTTCCTTTCTTTCTTCTTACTTTTCTTTTTCTTGCCTAACTATCCCAGCTAGACTCTCTAACAATACTGAATAGAAGTGGGGAAAGCAGATAAGCTTGTTTTGTTCCTGATCTTAAGGGAATAGCATTTAGTCTTTCACCATTGAGTATATTATTACCTGTGGGTTTTAGAAATTCCCTTCTATTCCTACTTTAGAGTTTTTATCATAAAAGGATGTTAGATTTTGTCATATGCTTTTTCTGCATCTCTTGACATGATCCTATATAATAAAAACCTAATATATAAATTGTTCCCTCAACCGGGAGTTTGACCAAGAGTTCGACCACTTGCTATGATGTGCACTGACCATCAGGGGGCAGCACAGAACATGGCAGGCGACACGGTGCTGGCTGTGGGCGGCAGTGGAAGTGTTGTCGGCCCCATTGGGCCCCGACAAGAGTAGACTGCAGCAGGATGGTGGAGCAGATGAGCAGGCGGCACTAGGCCAAGGCGGATGCAAGCTGGGTCCAATTGCCCCGCCAATCGCCCCACAGATGGCAACCAGCAGTGGGGAGGGAAGGGGGAGGGAGGAGGCGAGCGTGCGTACTGGCTGGCTCCCAGACACTAAAGGAACCAGGAGGAGGCCCAATGACTCAGGCAGAAGGTGGCATGTGGGGTACCTGCCTTTCCAAACCAGACACTAGCATTTTGATGGACAGCCAGGCATAGAGAACCGCACCAGTGCACGAATTTCATGTACTGGGCCTCTAGTCATGTATCAAATCTGAATACAATTAGAACTAATTCTATACCTTGGTAAGCAACTCAATGTTAATTTTTCTAATTCCCTGAAGAACCTCAGGAGGAACTGGGTAAAAAAGATAAAAGGATTAAGAAGTACAAATTGTTTATTACAAAATAGTCACAGGGATGTATAATATAGCATAGGAAATATAGTAAAAAATATTGTAATAACTAATATGTATGGTTCCAGGTGAGTACTGGAAGTATTGGGGGAACACTTTGTAAAGTATATGATTGTCTAACCACTATGCTGTTCACCTGAAACTAATACAAAAGGTATTGAATGTAAACTGTAATTGAAAACAAAAAAGTTGCCAAAACCGGTTTGGTTCAGTGGATAGAGCATCGGCCTGTGGACTGAAAGGTCCCAGGTTCGATTCTAGTCAAGGGCATGTACCTTGGTTGCGGGCACATCTCCAGTGGGCGATGTGCAGGAGGCAGCTGTTTCTCTCTCATCAATGTTTCTAGCTCTCTATCCCTCTCTCTTCTTCTCTGTAAAAATCATAACCTTAGTTTCTTTATATACATGTCAGCAATAAAGTTGGACAATTATTCAATTTAACTACTGCTTTTTCTTTAAAATGCCATAAACATACAAATAAATTAGGCATATTTTGAACACTAAAAAGCAAATACCTCCAAGAAACTCACAACCTAGAGGTCAAATAATCATTTTAATAGATAACAGGAGACTTAAACAGATGAATAATGTATGCATACACCAAGGAGAGCGGAAGGAGAGAGGAGATTCCCAAATATATAAGCTCAATATTTATAGGGTGCAAACCAGCTAATCCAGAAAAAGAGGGTATAAAGGAAGAAAGGGCATTATGCATGAAAGGAATGGTATGTGCAAAGGTACAGAAGTGAGAAAATGCATGTAACTCTATGTTGCTGATAAGGATTAGTATGTGTTTGTGTCTGTGGCAGAGAAAGCTGAGTTACCAGTTACCAGATATGGAGATATGGGCCAGAAGAGTATTAATTTTATCCTTCTCATTCATAGATGGACTCACTGTGAACACAACTTTTTGCTAAACTTGGACCTAATGATGACACAATATACTATATATTCTGCTCCCTGAAGGAGACACACAAACACTTCTTGACATTTATTCCCTTCCACCTTACCATCATATTCTGGATTTTTACCGACTGAGAACTAGCTTTAAAGACTCTTTGGTTATATCACATTATTTGCTTTCTTTAAGGCTCTTTTCTCTAGATTTGCTATTACTGAAAATTAAGAAATAGCACCAACCTATTTCCACTTGGATACTGTACTACAATGTCATGATCTTCATCAATGCCACAAACAGTTCCAGTTGTAGTTAAAGTCTCAAACATGCCATCAGTCCATCCTCCATGACCATGCTGCAAAGACTGTACAATTTCTAGGTCAAGATCTATATTTACCAAGTCACCAATCTGCAACCCACCAGGATTCCTGTTGCCATTCTGCTCACCTGTAATTGCAGAGAAGGTGGACAAAGGAAAAAGAAAGTTATAGCAACAACATGCAACTGCATTATTTTTAAACAAAAACAAGCACCAAGATTTCAAGGATTCATAATCATGAAACATTACAATGAGGGATTCAAAATGTGTCTGTTGATTCTATCCTTTTCTTGTGAAGGGAAGACACAAGAGTTTCTTTTTTTTCCCCCCCTTTGGTGCCAAAACCTGGGATCACAAGAAAGTTTCTGGTACCAAGAGAAATGGATACTCTCAGCAAAAATATATGTATTTCTTTTATATTCTCCTTTAAAAATAATAATGTGTCATGCAAGAAAAGAACACTTTTTATCAAAAAGATAAATCCAATCATTTGGAAAGAGGAACACAGAGTCTACATGAGAAAGAAAAGCATTCAGAGACTAAAGGCTTATTAATCAGATGAATGTAGTAAATGTTCATCATGACAACAATAAAGAATCTATAAAATTAAGGTAGTTTTGGTTTTATTATTCTTTTTTATTTTAATGATATGTGAAATTATATTTATTATGTTACCTTAATTTTGGAAGTTGTTTTTGCATTAGAAAGGAAATTCTAAGGATTCCATAAGCTATAAATTGTCAGATTCTATTCTTAATAGAAGAGATGTAATATATAATACAAAATTTTTCAGTAAGTTTACATTTAAAAGAAAAAGTTTCAAATATATTATGATATAAATGGCATGTCAATTCTCAAGATATGACAACTCAGTGTCTACATAAGTCATTTAAAAAGAACAAATCCGCGGAAACCGGTTTGGCTCAGTGGATAGAGCGTTGGCCTGCGGACTGAAAGGTCCCGGGTTCGATTCCAGTCAGGGGCATGTACGTTGGTTGCGGGCACATCCCCAGGGGGTGTGCAAGAGGCAGCTGATCAATGATTCTCTCTCATCGATGTTTCTAATTCTCTGTCCCTCTCTCTTCCTCTCTGTAAAAAATCAATAAAATATAAATAAATAAAAAAGAACAAATCCTTGTCCTGGCTGGTTTGGCTCAGTGGCTAGAGCATTAGCCTGTGGGCTGAAGGGTCCCAGGTTCTACTCCCAGGGGCATATTCCCAGGTTGTGAGTTCAATCCTCAGTATGGGGTGTGCAGGAGGCAGCTAATCAAAGATTCTCTCTCATCACTGATGTTTCTCTCTCTCTCTCCCTCTCTGAAATAAAAATACGTATTATTTTTAAAAAGGACAAATTCTTTAAAACGAAAATAAGACCAAAAAAATATATCTTCAAGTAGCTTTAATGGTAATTAATTTGTTAAAAGTCCACTTAAATATTTTTCCAATTCCATAAACTCTGATCCATTATTTAGTTATTTCCTCCAGTCTGCTAACTCACCTAGCACAGGGCAGTGATCTCTGTAGAAAGAACCTCCTTTGGCATCCTGGACACACTTCAGATCAGACTAAGAAGGAAAAAAAAAAAAAAAACACTCTTGAAAACGTCAAGTATAGCTCAATACCTAAAGTAAGCAAAATGTTCATTAGAAAAATACTCTCAGCAGAAAAAGGTGATGGGATTAAAAAGTACAGATTGGCCGAAACCGGTTTTGCTCAGTGGTAGAGCATCGGTCTGCGGACTGAAATGTCCCGGGTTCGATTCCGGTCAGGGACATGTATGTTGGTTGCGGGCACATCCCCAGTAGGGGGTGTGCAAGAGGCAGCTGGTCAATGTTTCTCTCTCATCGTTTCTAGCTCTCTATCTCTCTCCCTTCCTCTCTGTAAAAATCAATAATATATATATATATATATATATATATATATATATATTTTTTTTTTTTTTTTTTAAGTACAGATTGGCAGTTACAAAACAGCTATGGGGATTGTGAAGTACAGCATCAGAAATATGGTCAATAATCCTATATAATAAAGAGATAATATGCAAATTAATCCTCATGCCTTCACAAGATGGCAGGGGAGTTTGTGGGGGTCGACCAAACAACTGAACAAGCAGGCTGCATGGGGGGTTAGTGAGAGATGACCGAACGACTGAACAGCAAGCTGCATGGGGCTACCAGGCCGGCAGGGGGGCCATGACTGAAGACCAGGCTAGCAGGGCGGGGCAGTAGGGGGCAACCAGGTCAGCAGGGGGGGCAGTTGGGGGCAATTAGGCTAGCGGGGGGGAAAGGGGGTAGTTAGGGAAGACTAAGTCGGCAAGAGAGGCAGTTAGGGGTGATCAGGTCGGCATGCAGAGGCAGTAAGAGGCAATCAGGATTGGGAGGGGGTGGGGACGCCTGGGCAGTTAGGAACAACCAGGCAGGCAGCCAAGCGATTAGGAGCCAGCAGTCCAGGATTGTGAGAAGGATGTCTGACTGCCGGCAATCCTTGCAATCGGGCCTAAACCGGCAGTCGGACATCCCCCAAGGGGTCTCAGATTGGAGAGGGTGCAGGCTGAGCTGAGGGGGAAACTCCCCCCATGCACAAATGTCATGCAGCGGGCCTCTAGTCTACACTAATAAAAGGATACTATGCTAATTAGACCAGGAAATCTTCCGTACATCCTTCTGGACAAAGCTATGGTGGCAGGGCCAAGGCACAGGCAGTTGGGGGCAAGCAGGCCAGTGGGGGAGCAGTTGGGAGCAATCAGGCTGACTGGGGGCCAGATAGGGGCCATCAGGCCAGCAGGGAGGAAATTGGGGACAATCAGACCAGCAGGGGGGGGCAATAGAGGGGCGAGAAGGCTGGCAGGGGGAAGAGTTGGTGGCAAGATAAGTGGGGGGAGCAGTGAGGGGAGCAGTTGGGGGAGATCAGGCTGACATGCAGAGTGGTTAAGGGCAATCAGCCAGGCAGGCAGGTGAGCGGTTAGGAGCCAGCAGTCCCAGATTACGAGGGATCAGGTCTAAACCAGCAGTCACACATCCCCCGAGGGGTCCCAGATTAGAGAAGGTGCAGGCCAGGCTGAGGAACAATCGCCCCCCCACCCCCGTGCACAAATTTTGTGCACTGGACCACTAGTATTGTAATAAAAAAAGAAAGCAGAAAGGCAGTTTATATTTTAGAAACATGAAATAGGAGGCTTGAATATATGTACTGATTACACAACTATTACATTACTATTATACTTTATTAATAATATAAATTTTAGAGTAAACTTCATAAACAAAAAAAATAATTTTAACATCTACTGTTATTTATATTTTTACTAGAGGCCCAGTGCACGAATTCATGCACCAATGGGATCCCTGAGCCTGACCTGCAGGATCAGGTCAAAACTGGCTCTCCAACATCCCCCAAGGGGTCCTGGATTTTAGAGGGCACAGGCCAGGCCAAGGGATCCCACCAGTCCATGATCGGGGCTAGGGAGGGACATGGAAGGTTGGCCAACAGGGGAGGGACCACGGTAGGGCTCCAGGACATGTCCACCCATCTTGCTCAGTCCTGATCGTCCAGACCCCAGCAGCAAGCTAACCTACTGGTCAGAACGTCTCCCCCGTGGTGGTCAGTGCACATCATAGCAAGCGGTTGAGCAGCCTTAATATACCATTACCATATTACACTTTGATTGGTTGAACGAACAACCGGATGATTAGACAATTAGCATATTAGGCTTTTATTATATAGGATCAGCCACCAAAGCCTAGAATGCAAATATACCATAAAAATCTTATTATAATACTATTTTCCATGCAGTTGATTTTAAATCTTAAATTCTTACACTGACTATTAAATAGTTCAAACAAATATAATAAATATGTAAAGTTTATTAAATTTTCACTTTATAGATTTCCCCTCCTATTACATATTCATGATGATTCAGATAGCTGTATTCTGACAAAAAGAGATGACAAAAGAAAAAATTCAAAAATAAAATTATTTCCCTTCTTTCATCCATCCAATATTTTCTTTTATGGTTCTTACTACTTACCATGCCCTCAAAGCCAACTCTGTAAAGGTTCTTAGCACCATTATCCCAGAGAACATATGCTGCACTATGTGGGCTTGATGCACTCCAGTCTTGGATTTCTGTTACCTATAAGAGAATTTTTTGAGGAAAATTTTTAAAGGGAGATAGAAGAGGTTGGTTCTTTTAGTTATATTTAAATCTTGAAAATTATTTGTTATTCTGTATAACAAGATATGAATAATACTTATTTGCCAAATATATGTCACTTCTAATATATAATTGAATTATAATGAGATATTTTTTCAGAATTATAAGGTAATTTTTAAAACAAATTATAAAAATTTAAAATTGAAAGTCTTAGTGATTATAATAGATTTTCAGAAATTATAAAAATCAATACAAAATTTTTAATCTTTACTCTTAAGTAGAGTGTTTTCTTTTAAACCCACTATGTAATATAAAATTCAAAATCTTTTGAATGATTCAAGATTAACCTGCTCTCTGGTCAGCTAAAATATGATAAGCTTGAGGCTTGATGGCAATGTTCAAGGAGACTTAAGTGACTTTGTTTCCCAGAAGTTCCTTCAGTTGCCTCAAAAAGCAGGCAATCTTAGCTAAAACAGCATGTCTGTCTACCATGGAAATCCAGACACAATCTCAAGACCCCACACAGCACCAGAGACTAATTCATAAACTTATTTATTATTTTAAAAATTTACTGGGTTACTACTACTAAAAGGCAAAGAATCAACTACACAAAAATGATACACAATGAGTACTAAATGTGGGTACTCTCAAGTAAACCAGTCTACAGCTAAGAACGGGAAATGATACATGTTCACTTATTACTTTTCTCCATGTTGACGCTTACAATCAGCCATCCTTCATAGTTACTTAGAATGCTAGGATGATGTTTAAGGAATAACCTGAAAAACAGGCTGTTATTTCAATATGACATATAATGATCCTTTCATTTTTACACTGTACTAAAGAAATCATTTTATAAGTTATGTATTTTATGGTGTTGTTGTAGAGGAAAAAATTTTGAAGTCTGTGTCATCTGAAGAAATCACAGGAACTGAAAAGCCTCTTTTGTATCCATTGGTGCCAAATGAATTTTTTTCAAGTTAAATTCTGTCACTATGGTGTGAGAGAGAAACACTGATGGGTTGCCTCTCGCATGTGCCCTGAGGATCAAACCCAAAACCTAGGTATGTGCCCTGATCAGGAACCGAACCCACAAACACTTTAGTGTACAGAATGATACTCCAACCAACTGAGTCATCTGGTCAGGGCAAGTGTAGTTTTTAATTGTCTGACTTTTTTTTTACTTGATTCCTTCCACAACCACACAGAGACTGGTAGAAGGGAAAACAAGACTGTTAGGATGGGTGGAGATGCAGAAGGAAGTGGTCTCACACCCATGTGTGGCAGATAAAAATCAGAAGGAATTTCTGGGCTGCAGAGGCTCCCTGCTGAGGAGCTAAGGGGTCCCAGCCCCACACCAGGCCACACAGCCCAAGGTTCCAAACCGAGAAGAGAAGTCTTCATAATCTCTGGCTGTAAAATCCAATCTCTCTGAGTGAGACAGACCGCAGCTTCAGTCCCAAGCGTTCCTCTTGAAGAGAACAGACTTATTTGCTCTGAGCTACAGTGCTGGGACAGAAACTCAAATAGTGCAAGAACATATGAGAAGGAACTAATTGCCTGGCATTAGGACAAGTACTGAAGGGACAATTTTTTTCCAGACAGAAGTGCTGGCACAGGTCATTGTTCCTTTTCTGAACCCTCCTTCCAAAGAGCTGGCAGAAAGTGCCATATTTGAGTCTTCATCAACATGGCTAACACTGTTCATCCCACCCTTGTGATTCCCTGAGACCTTGCCCATCTAACACATTTCCAGTGGCTTTTCCATACAAATGGCATCTCTTGGCTCATGCTTCAGACTTTTCTAAAATCTCTCAAACAAGTGCATCTGGCCATCATACCTCTCACTAATTGCCCCCAGGCCTGACAACAGTGGCAGTTGACCTTGGGTTCAAGGGCTGACCTCTCCTAGGCACCTCCAAGCCCAGCACAAGTAGCAGCAATCTTCAGATTGATTTAGCTCATGCCAGGTGGCCTGTTCCTCCCTGGAGGCCCCAGAGTCAGCACACCTAGTGGACAGCTTCAGAACACATCAAAGCACCACACAATTACCTTCATGAGCAACACACTCAAGGAGCAAACTCAGAAGGCATCAGAGCCCTGTTGAAGTAAGTCCTGTTTCCTGTTCCATGGTGTCAGTGCCTGCATAGCTGATCCTTCATGGTGGTTGTAGCCAGTCCTCACAGCTGACTGATCTGAAGGTAAATTCCTCCCACTGAGATGCCAACAGCAATCATGCTCAACTACAACAAGAAGATGTACACTGCCCACTCTGGGAAGTGACCAGCTCAGGTGATCAGGGAAGCTGTGCCACTGGACCCTGTAGGACACTACTAATTAATGCCACCATACAAAGTCCAGGAGATGTAAACAGCTCTACCTAATATATAGAAACAAATACAGGAAGGCTATAAATGAGAGGATCAAAAAAAAGCATGTCCAAATGAAAGAACAGAAAAGAATTCCAGAAAGAGAACTAAATAAAATGAAAACAAGCATCTATCAGATGCAAAGTTCAAAACACTGGTTATAAAGATGTTCAATAAACTTAGGGAAAGGGAAGATGAACTTAGTGAGAACTTCAACAAAGATAAGAAAATGAAACTAAAAAACATTAAAAAAAAAAAAAAAAAAAAAAAAAAAAACAGTAAGAAATAAAGACCTAAGTGAAATGAAGAATATATTATATTATAGGGAATCAACAGTGGACTACATGAAGCAGATGATCAAATCAGAGATTTGGAAAATAAAAAAGCAGAAAATACCCAGTGGGAATAGCAAAATGAAAAAAGAATCCAAAAACTCAGTGTAGTATAAGGAGCCTTTGGGACAACTTCACACCAATATTCATATCATGGGGGTACCAAAAGGAGAAGCAAGAAAGCAAGAAATTGAAAACTTTTCTGAAAAAAATGACAGAAAACTTTCCAAATCTGGAAATGGACATACAAGTCCAAGAAGCACAGAGTGCTCCAAACAAGATGAACCCAAAGAGGGCCACACCAAGACACATCTTAATTAAAATGACAAAAATCAAAGAAAAAGAGAAAACCTCAAAAACTGCAAGAGAAAAGCAGTTACCTACAAGAGAGCTCCCATAAAACTGTCAGCTGATTTCTCAACAGAAATTTGCAGGCCAGAAGACAGTGGCAAGAAATATTCAAAGTGATGAAAAGCAAGGACCTATAACCAAGATTACTCTTCCCAGCAAAGCTATCATTTAGAATTAAAGGACTTCTCAAACAAACAAAAAAAGCTGAAGGAGTGATGACACCACCACACCAGTAATACAATAAATGTTAAAGGATCTTTAAAAAGAAAAAGAAAGGTCTAAAACATGAATAATAAAATGACAATAAATACATATCAATCACCAATTATTTTAAATGCAAATGTATTAAATGTCCAATCAAAAGACATATAATGGCTGAATAGATAACAAAACAAGACCCTTACATATACTGTCTACATGAGATTCCCTTCAGATTGAAAGACACACACAGACTGAAAATAAAGATATAGAAAAAGACATTTTATGAAAATAAAAACAAAAAAAAAGGCTAATGTAGCAATACTTATACCAACAAAAGAGACTTTAAAACAAAGGCTATATAACACAAGACAAAGAAGGAACCAGCAATTCCACTTCAGGGAATTTATTTTTTAAAAATAAATTAATTAAAAAGACATATGCACCTATATTGTTGCAGTATTATTTAAAATAGCCAAGATATGGAAGCAGCCTAAGATGAATGGATAAAATGGAAGTATTACATATATACAATGGAGTATTACTCAGCCATAAATAAGAGTGAAATCTTGCCGAAGCCGGTTTGGCTCAGTGGTAGAGCGTCGGTCTGCGGACTGAAAGGTCCCAGGTTTGATTCCGGTCAAGGGCATGTACATTGGTTGCGGGCACATCCCCGGTAGGGGGTGTGCAAGAGGCAGCTGGCCGATGTTTCTCTCTCATCAACGTTTCTAACTCTCTATCTCTCTCCCTTCCTCTCTGTTAAAAATCAATAAAATATATTTTAAAAAAAAAAAAAGAATGAAATCTTGCCTTCTGCAACAATATGCATGTGTCTATAGGATGTTGTGCTAAGTGAAGTAAGTCAGACAGAGGAAGACAAATGCCATCTGATTTCACTTAGCCTTGGAATCCAAAGAGAAAAATAAATGAACAAGCAGAACTCATAAATAGAACATTTTGATGGTTGTCTGATGGGAGGGGGCTGGAGAAATGAATGGAAAAGGTGAAGGGATTAAGAAGCACAAATTGACAGTTACAGAATAGTCATGGGGATGTAAAGTACAATATAGGGAATACAGTCAATAATATTGTAATAACTATGTATGGTCTTAGAGGGGGTACAAGATTAATCGTGGTAATCACTTAGTAAGTTATATAATGTCAAATCACTGGGCTATACACTTAAAACTAATATAATGTATATCAACTGTAACTGAAAAATAAAAGCATTATTTAAAGTAAAAAAAAAAAATCATTCCTCAATGATAAAAAGTCTCAAATATGAAATGTTATTTACTTCAGTGCATCTAGCATTTAGGATAACACAGAGTATACATAATTCAACACACATTTTTTTTACTGAATCAGTGAATGGTCAACAAAAGCTGACCATAAAACCCAAAATAAATAAATCCAACAACCCATTTAGCCTAATATTTCTAGCTATCCCACCCCAGTGAAACAGGTTCTACACAATTCCTTCCCTTCAGAATAATTGTTAAAACTGACCCTAAACAGCTCTACACACTACCTGAGAATAGTAACAAGAGTGAAGTGGACTAGGTAACAAAGTAGCTGCTTATTACCCCCTAAGACTCAGGTCTTTCAAAGAATGGAATATAAAACAAATGAAATTGTAACCCTAACTGGTTTGGCTAAGTGGACAGAGTGTCAGTCTGTGGACTGAAGGGTCCCAGATTCGATTCTGGTCAAGCGCATATACCTTGGTTGCGGGGACATCCCCAGTAGGGTGTGTGCAGGAGACAGCTGAATTGATGTTTCTCGCTCATCATTGTTTCTATCTCTCTATCCCTCTTCCTCTACCTTCCTCTGTGTAAAAAGTCAATAAAATATATTTATAAATAAATTTATACTAATAAAAGACTAATATGCTAATTAGACCAGGAGACCTTCTGGACAAAGCCACGGTGGTGGGGCCCAGGCAGAGGTGGTTAGGGGCTATCAGGCCTGCAGAGAAAGCAGTTAGGGAGATCAAGTAAGTTAAGAATATTAAGTAAAGCTCAGGGAGGGCTGACCCAAACAGATTGTTTAGAATGGCATTCTGAGCAACAAAGCAACATTATTGAAGCCTAAGGAAGAAAGGTAAAATCTACCTGACAACTTTCTCTATAATACCAATATTTACAATGGAGCAGGAAAAAACTCTTTTCTTTCAAAAAAGAAAAAAAAAAAAAAAAGGGAAATTAAGATTTAAAAAATTGCTCGTAGCATAGAAAAAAGAGTGCCACAAAATTAAATTATAGTAATAAAAACTCCTGACATACTATATTCTAGAATAACATAATGAATTAAGAAAAAAGTTTTACCTTCCCCCTACGTCCATTTCCTCCATCCTGATCTTCCCATTGCCAGTCTACTCCTCGTACCACTCTGGCACCTGCAAAGATCCCTCTGGCTGTAATCTTCTTAGATTTTCTACGAGATTCTAATAGAACCCTAAAAATAAAATTATTTCAAACTTGTTTAAAAATAGGTAACATAATTTCTAACAACAGTATATAAAAGGTTATTTCAAAAATATAAAAGAATTTTTAAATAGTAATGAAATCCACATATAAACCCAATCTACTTCAAATTATCACTATACTCTTCACTGCTTTAGAGATAGCAAACTCAAATCAAGTACAACTGTTAGGCAAATAATATAGCCGAAGGAACCGCTGAGCTAAAGCCAGCCCAATGTTAGGCAAATAATATAAATGAGTTCCTAAAAAAAAAAACAGTGCCACAGAAATGAAAAATGGCAAGTGGCACTTGACCTCAGGCTTATTTAGGAAGACAACGGGGAGTGGTAGGGACTTTGGTGAACTCAAGCATGGATTTGTCTACAGGGTACAGGTGCTCCTGTGCTTCAGCAAACTCTTGCCAGGAACAAATGTAGGCCCAGTGCTAAGTTTTCTGGGGGTGTGCACACATGAGTGTGAGAGTGTGTGTGAATGTGTGCATATTTTAAAAATAGATAAACTTAGATTTTTTTGTGAAATCACCCAATTTCAAAAGATTAACAATTGTTCAAAATTTTGGAATATGGTACATGTCAAGTAAAATACATCTGTGGCCTAGTCTTGCATTAAACTGCCTCCAAAGTTCTGCACGCCTACAGAAGACTGTGGGCCTTGGAAAAGATTCTAATTATATGGACCAGCTGGATTTTCCAAGCAACTGCCCCATATTCTACATCCTTCTCATTCATAAAACCAAAAAGATTTTGGGATTTTTTTCCTTTTGCTTTTCTGCTTTCATCTCACTATTCTATTCATTTTTAGAATATCTTTATTATACTCTAATTTTTTTAATTGTAAACAAAAGACAAAAATAAGTTGTTCCAATTACTTAGTAAATAAATGGCAGGACCATGATTTGAACTGGGAAACCAGGTCACCCAAATCCATCTTTCTATTACTCTTGCTGCTTTCCTATGACTGGCTAGATTCGTGCTCTTATGCATTTTCCATCCTATCTAATAAAAGAGTAATATGCAAATTGGCCATCACTCCACCCAAGGTGGTTACCCCCATGTAGACACAAGGTGGCCAGCAGGGAGGGCAGCTGTGTATGATCAAGCCAGCAGGGAAGGGTTGTTAGGAATGACCAGGCTTGCAGGGGAGGAAAGTTGGAGGGGGACCAGACATGCAAGGGAGGATAGTAAGGGGTGATCAGGCCAGCAGGGGAGGGCAGTTAGGTGCAATTGGGCCGGCAGCAGAGAGGTTAGGGGGGTAATCTGGCTGGCAGGCAGAAGAGGTTAGGGGCAAACAGGCAGACAGGCAGGCAGGCAAGCGAGCAGTTTGGAGCCAGCAGTCCTGGATTGTGAGAGGGATGTCCAACTGCCCGTCCCAGCAGGCATAAACAGACAGTTGGACATCCCTCAAGGGGTCCCAGATTGGAGAGGGTGCATATGGGCTGAGGACACACCATTCCCCCGTGCATGAATTTTGTGCACTGGGCCTCCAGTATCTACATAAGAAGACCAAATTACCTGAAACTCTATGCCCTTTCACAATTAACACTCCTCTCTCTTACTCCTACGACGACACTCAGTACATATCCCTATGTAGAGTATAAAACATCACATGATAATCACTGTTGATCAAATAATCCCTTAACTTGAAAACTCTTTAAGTACTTTACCTTCATATTTACACAAGCAGAGTAGCTGCCTCAAAGTCTTAATAAATGCCTCTTGACTGAATCAATGGACCCTAGTGGTAGCAATTAACAAAATAGAAAATATAGCAAGGAGAAAATAATCAGCCCTGATGGTAGCTCAGTTTGTTAGCACAGCGTACAATACACCAAGGTTGGGGGTTCAATCCCCAATCAGGGCACATATAAGAATCAACCAATTAATGCATAAATAATAGGAACAACAAATCAATGTTTTCTAAAAATCATCAACAAAATAGTAATAATAAAAACACCAGCTTGTTAATAAAAAAAATAAAGAAGAAAATAATCAGTCTCTCTTGGGCTACCCTTGCATTTCCAAATACTGAGTAGTGCCAGATCTCTACTTGAGAGAAAGAATCGCCTCAATTATCTTGGAAAAATACTTAGAGCTTTGTCTTCGCAGAGGCAAGCCTGGTCTACTTATAGCCTGCTACCTGCTACCTCCTGACTAAACTAGTTCTTAGAAGCTTTCCTAATCCTGCTTTTAAGGCTGAATAGTATAAAATTTTAATACAAACAAGAAGTTGCGACTGAAAAAAAGCTATTTCCCATACCGCTCACTCCCAGGTGTGGTGATTCTATAGAAGCGGTGCCTTAAGTGGTGCTTGTCTCCATGGTAACACACTGTGCACAAATCATAATTCGTACACTCGGCACACTTCCATCGAATGCCAATGATTGGCTGCTGGCGGCAGGTATCACACATGGTTCCATCATGCTTAATGCCTATTAAAAAAAGGATACATCCTTATATTAATTACAGGTATTATTTACTGGAATATTATTTGTTAAGAGGAAAAATAAGAACACAACATTTTACCAAGTATTTGAATAAAGTAGGAAATAATATTTCAAATGCACCATATATAGTTTCAAGATAATGTATTACAAATATTTTAATCAGCACAAATTATAGGCTAAATAGCTTCTATCCCTTCTTTTTTCCATTAATAAAAACATTTCTCAGTAGTGCTTCCCTTTAGCAGTTGGGGGCAAGATCAGGCCAGCAGGGAGGGCAGCTGGGGGCAACCAGGCCAGTAAGGGATGGCAGTTGGGGGTGAGATCAGGCCAGCAGGGAGGGCAGTTAGGGGTGATCAGGCAGACAGAGGCAGCGTGGGGGGAGGGGGGAAGGGGGGCAAAATCAAATCAGCAGGTTAGGGGCAATCAGGCAGGCAGGCAGAGGCAGTTAGGGAGGTGATCAGGCAGGAAGGCAGGCAGGTGAGTGGTTAGGAGCCAGTGATGTCAGATTGTGAGAGGGATGTCCGATTGGAGAGGAAACATTGATATTTCTCTCTCTTCCCCTTCCTCTCTCTATAAAATCAATAAAAACATTTTAAAGTTTTAAATATGAAAAAAGAAAATCATAAAACTACTAAGAAAAAGTTGAACAGCATACTTTACAATTTTCAGTAGTTTTTCAAAGCATGGCACAAAACCTAGAAGTCATATGCATGCCCATGTGAGCACACATATACATAAGTGTACAAATAGCGAAAAATCTGTAAGTCCACTAGAAAATTGCTGACAATGATTGAGGATGCACAGATGGGGAAGAAGGAACTTTCATCTTTTGTTTGATATACTTTTGAATTGTTTAGTTTTATTATAAGCATACTAGAGTCCTGGTGCATGAAATTCATGCATGGGTAGATTGCCTAGGCCTGGTCGGGAATCAGGTCCAATCTGTGGGGTGACCAGCAGGGCAATGGGGGGGGTAACCAGTGGGCTATTGGGGGGCAGTACCAGCCCCGCCCCCTGACGCCGCTGTTGTCGGTCGCCTCCCTCTGCAGAGCGACCAGCAGGGCAATTGTGGGGCCCCTGCTGGCACTTGCCTTGGCTGGCCTGGGGCCTGTGGGCAGCTCCTGCACTGAGCGTCTGCCCCCTGGTGGTCAGGGCATATCAGTGTATCCTAGTGACCAGTCATTCCACCAGTTGCTCCACCATTCGGTCAATTTGCCTATTAGGCTTTTATTATATAGGATTATTAATTTCATACTTTTTAAAATATATATTTTATTGATTTTTTACAAAGAGGAAGGGAGAGAGGGAGCTAGAAACATCGATGAGAGAGAAACATCAACCAGTTGCCTCTTGCACACCCCCTAACGGGGACGTGCCCTTGACCGGAATTGAACCCGGGACCTTTCAGTCCGCAGACCAACACTCTACCACTGAGCCAAACCAGTTTCGGCTAATTTCATACTTTTAAAAAGAAAACACAGCCCTGGCCAGTGTGACACAGTGGGGGGTGTCATCCAGTGAACCAAAAGATAGTATCCAAAGATAGCAAATTATTTGTAGTAGATAGAAACAAAAATTTAACATAACTGATGTAAAAAATATGGAGTTATTGCCTGACTGGCATGGTTCAGTGGTTTGAGCATCGACCTATGAACCAGGAGGTCATGGTTAGATTCCCAGCCAGGGCACATGCCTGGGTTGCGTGCTCAATCCCCTGTGTGGGGCATGCCAGAGGCAGTCGGTCAATGGTTCTCTCTCATCATTGATGTTTCTGTGTCTCTCCTTTCCTCTCTGAAATCAATAAAATATATTTTTAAATAGGGTTACTTATGTGTAAACTATAGTCATTCATAAAGGAAATTCAGTTATTAAACCACATTATAGAAGAAATGTTACTGACAGCATAAACTGTATTATTATTTTATAAAGCAGTTTGCAAACAAATACAGTATACCATTTTGATAAATAAATTACATAATACATATAATTCATGTGCACATAAAAACTGGAAAGATAATCCCCAAAATGTACTGATGGGATTACTCTGTAGTTTTCCAAGTTTTCTACACTGTATTAATTCTAGGAAGCAGCTGGGTGAGTAGAGGTATTTAAAATGTAGTATAAGCATATAATTAAACTAAAAGCTAAAACAAACAAAAACATGAGGGATTCTAAACAGATTTTATAGAAACAACTTTTAAATAGTTGCTTTAGCAATAGGGTATTAACTGTTATTTAGAAATTTTTATTTCTTTTAAGCCTTACACAAATTAAGCAATTCATGTATATGAAAAGAAAATATATACCAAAAAAAGGAAAATATATACCTTATTTAGATATACTTCTCATTGCCACATATCTGAAGTTAGAGTCTAATCTGTTTTACTACAGGAAAACACTATGACCAAAAACATAATATCAAATAGCATAATAGTAAATATCTCCACAATGATTAAGTTTCTGAACAAGATGTAAAATAGGTCTTCTATGTCATTACAAAAAGTAAAATGCACTAAACAATCAGTATCCCTAAGCATTTAGAAGATTTTTTTCCTAAGCTATCTGTGCAGCACTTCAAATGAGTTGATAAAAAGCATAGGGAAAATGTATCCCAACTCTCACTGACCACAAAAAGAAAAAGTTCAGTTTTTAGCTATCTATATATTTCATCTCTACCTTAATTTTCCACAAAGCACAATGATAACATTCATGAGCTCATAATCTTAAGAAGGCTTTCTTTAAAAGAAACCATTTAAATACACAATAATAGCTGGGGGTTTTTTTTTTTAAAAGGCCCTTCTACAATTCATGGTTTTAAAGAATACTCCAGGAAAACCATTAATGCACACAAAAGCATATCCAAATCCGGGTTCCCACAGTTCAAACACCAACTACTGAACAGCTGTGAAAGAGACTAGTGCTGAGAATTGGAAAAAGTAAGCAAAGCAACACCTCCTTCCATTACCAACATGAGCACTAAAAACTTTTTTAAGAATGCAACTGATTTTTTTAAATAGACATTTAAAGAAAACATAAAACAGGAGAATGGGCATTACATAAACAAGACCCAAATCTGACTTATATCTCACTTTGGTGGCGTTTGATTTCCAGTTACTACTGTGTTTCCCCGAAAATAAGACATCCTCCGAAAATAAGACCTAGCACATGGAAAAATAAGACATCCCCTGAAAATAAGACCTAGTGCAAGTTTGGGAGAAAAAAATTAATATAATTTCAGGGAAACAGGGTACATCTATCCAATTTATTCTCATCTAAAACTATTTCCTCCCAGTCTAAACCTCCTTCACCCTGGCAAGAATTATTTCTTAAAAATTTCATTTCATAAAACTTAATTCCCTAACTAAACCTATTATATTTTTTCTCTTTCCTATAGAATACCATGTTACCATCAAGAGTTAATGCTCTCTCTCTTTGCTAAGCTTTAGGAAGACATCTGCCACCATTAAATGAACCACCTGATGATAGCTTTTGACTCATTCTATTAGTACTCAAATGACCATCTGCTGTTTTACCGGCATCTGGCCTAAATGCAATAACTTAGAGAATTTACATAGCTTAAGTCTCTTTGTTGGAAAATTTTATGAGAACAGTAAAACGTGCTAGTCAAGATCAATAACCACAAGTTAAAAGAGCCAATGGAAACAGCTCACATTCACAAAACGCTGATCTATGCAAGTAAAATGTTTAATTTCTAGCCAGAAAAGATGATTGAAAGAGGGTACTGAAGTTCTCATTACAAGTAGTTCACTATATGAATCACTTCGACATGGAATAAGAACATCTAATTTATCACTTTGCATAATAGCAAAAGTAAGCAATATAATTGTCTATTCACAAAGAGAGTGGAAACCTATATTAGGTATACAATGGCATACCTAAAATGAATGTTCAACATGGATGAATCCTTCAACTGCAATGCTGAATTTTTTAAGTACACAATTCAAAATGTTGCAAATAAGGCAGTGTACACTGTTTACAGATATATAAAAACACTAGAGGCCTAATGCACAAAATTCATGCAGGAGTAGGCCTTCCTTCCCCCAGCAGCCGGCACCAGCTTCCTTCTGGCATCTGGGACCTGGGCTTTCCTTGCAGCCCCAGCTTCATCTGGAAGGTCGTCCAGAAGGACATCTGGAAGGACATCCGGTCTAATTAGCATATTATACTTTTATTATTATAGATAGCATAGTCCTAGCCTGTTTGGCTCAGTGAATAGAGCGTCAACCCTCGGAATGAAGGGTCCCGGTATTGATTCTAGTCAAGGGCACAGACCTTGGTTGCAGGCTCATTCCCTGGCCCTGGCCAGTGCACATGCAGGATGCAACCAATTGATGTGTCCCTCTCACATCAATGTTTCTCTCTGTGTGTCTCTCCCCCTTCCTTCCCCTCTCTATTAAAAAAAAAAATCAATGGAAAAAATATACTCAGGTGAGGATTAACAAAAAATTAATCAATTAATTTAATTTAAATGGCATAAATGTAAACCCATTGGAATAAGTCATTTCTAGATAGAGGTTATCCTAGCCTATGAGAAGAAGGAAGAGAATGTAATTGGGAAGAAGAACAGTGCTTCAAATGTATTAGTAATCCTTTGCTTCTAAATGGGTTCACAGGAATTTATTAATTATTTATCTACTTGGATATTTAAATATTATGTAATAAATTTTATAAGTTTTTAAAATAAAAAAACATCCCTAAACTAGTATAGTGCCAAGGTTAATCCTCTAAATTTTTGCCCTAATTAAAAGATTTCACCTAAGATTAAAAATAATTTATAAGTTATTAACCAGTTCTTAGGTGTAATTATTTATTATGGCATATTGTTATCATTCAACAAACCAAGAAACTCTATTTCTGATTTATGAATTCATTCAATTTGAACCCCAAATTAATATGACAAAATGTTTACAGAGATTTAAAAGAGGGTTAACCAACTAGAGTATGTATCTTATTTTCCCTTAAAT